TGAAGAAGACTAGGATAGAGACTGTATTAAAAATCAGTTCAGGATCTAAGACAAACAAGTGTAAAGGCTATCTGCACCAACAATTTTGCTATTCTGGAGTTAATAGATGAGAAGGAAAAAGGAAATGAAAAGAACAGGGTTGGGAATGCTATGCCTACTTCTCAGGAGAAAGTGATGGATGACCAAGTTCCCAACTCACCAAGGAAAACTCGAGTAGCCTTCACTGAAGTTGTAGAATTGATGAAGTAGTTGACGAAAAAAAAAAGAAAAGCTCTATTAACAAAGGCAAGAAGCAAGCAAAGGTAGATTAAGCTACCATGGGATGTAACCCTTCATTTTCCTTTTCATGAAATTACTAAGTTGGAATGTGAGAGGGCTTAATGCCCTTCTAAAGAAAGGGAGGTGATAAGCAAGATTAGAAGATTACAAGTAGTTATGGTGTGTTTACTAAAAACTAAAGTAAAACAAAATAACATGCAACAAGTACTGAGTACACATTTTGTTGGTTGGTCTATTACACATAACTACTCATATGCCTATAATGGAAAATTTTGGATGATGTGAAAGTTTGAAATGAAAGTGGACCTAATGGAGGCTATGGATTAAAGTATTACGTGTAGCATTTTATATGAGATGGAAAAGGTTTATATTATAGCTATATAAGGTGGTAATAATGAAGGAAATCATAAGAGGTTTATATTACAGCTATATATGCTAGTATAAGCATGAGGGAATTTCTAGACTGCTTATAGATGTTGGATGTAATGAACCACCCTTACACAGAGCCTTTGTTTACTTAGAGTAATCATACTTTCTTTAGGAAGTTGGATCGAGTCTTAATCAATGATATAAGGCTTACATGGCAGCCAGATTCAGTTGTAGAATTTTTACCACCAAAGGTTTCTGATCATTGCTTAGCCTTGATAAATATGAATGTGCCAAGGCAATCCATACCAAACCTATTCAAGTTCTTCAATTTTTGGACAAAGCACCAGGATTTCTTAAAGATAGTGGAAGAATATTGAAAAATGCTAGTGAATGGTAAGCGGATGGCTATCCTACACTGGAAATTAAAAAGGTTTAAGCAAGACCTTAAAAAATGTAATTTCTCACAATATAGAGATCTCTTTGAGAGAGTGACAACAAAAAGGGAGGAGCTGGCAAAATCGCAAATAGCTGCACTCTTACATTCACTTACATTTGATGTTAATAAAGAAAAGAAACTTCTGCAAGAGCTTCATGAATTACTGAAAGATGAAAAAAGCTTATGAAGGTAAAAATCTAGGATAAGATGAATTCAAGAATGTGATCAAAATACAAGTTTTTTTCACAAACTTGTGGCTACCAAGAAAAGGAAAAGTGAAATAAAGCTATTATATGACATATCGATGGCATATCGAGACTCAAATGAAGGTTAAATAAAAGTTAAATTGAGTAAAATTTATATAATAAATGTATAGTTAATTGATTACATCCTAATTATATAACATCAACACTTTCTTTAATATCCATTTTTAAAAATTTATCAAATTAAAATGGAAAAAGTAACTAAAAAATATATTTTTAATAATAATATCAAATGGATCAAAAATTCAAAAATTCAAAATATTTCAAAATATTTATTAAATAAAAATATAAACAAGAAAAAATTAAATAGTAAAAGTGAAAAAAATAAAATAACTTGATACATGATATACCTTTAATATCAAGTGATTCCTTAAAAAATGAAATTAAAAAATTATTTATTAAATATATAAGAACAAAAAATAGAAAAAATCAAAAGTTAAAAACGAATAAAAAATGTGCCATACCTTTAATATTAAGTGGATCTAAAAATATATAAAACATAAAAAAGATTAATTAAGTTTTTTCGAAAAAAAATAAAAAAAATTGATTTCAAGTGTCTTAACTAATAAAATATTGTTGAAATATAAAAAAGAATGTGTTACCCAAAAATTTTTAAAAATACAAAAGAAATAAGTTTCACAAAAAAAATAAAAGTTATTAAGTTAAAAAAAACATAAATTATAAAAACTATATAAAAAAAGTCCTACAAAAATAATGGATCCACTACAAAATAATAAAATATTTAAAAATAAAAAATAAAAAAGTGACATGTGTTATCAATAGAAAAAAACAAAAAAATTAAATGTAGAAAATGAGTTCCTCAAAAACAGTAAACCCCATTGAATAAAAAAAAATATATATTTTAAAAACTGAAAAGAAAAAAAAAGTTCAAAAAAGCAAGTAACACGTGGCTGCACAGAATATTTTCAATCTACAGTTGGGAGGAATTAACTTATCAGGTGGCAGATTAAATCCCATGTAATGCTATCTACGGTTATAATGAAGCCACATTATCGTATTTTTATTGAGTTCCAAATACATCGATACCTTACCCACATCAACAATTCATTTTCTCTCAAATCTGCCCTTCATCTTTTTCGTCTCTCGCTTTTTTATCTCTATATTTTGTTACAACTCATTTTCACCCATTCCTGTCTCCTTTCTATTCTAGATTCTTTTTAAAATTTTTGACCACCCAAGCGATCTTTTTGTAGGTTCGTAAACTATTAAATGATCATTTCAAAATTTTTTGGTCAACCTTTTATTTAACAATAGAGAAACAAAAAAAGAAGAAACTGTCATTGTTAACTACTTAAAAATGAAGATTGATTCATTTTTTTATGACGATGCTTAGATCCTTTAAGATCAAATGAGTGGTTATAGTTTATTCAAATTAAAAGATTTCATTTGAGATGATGTTGCATGGATTAACTACAAAAGTCGATTATGAAATTTCATGAAAAGTTTCTTGGTTTGAAAATGCAAATTTTATTAAAAAATTTTCCCAATTCAAATGGGATTTCTTTTTTATAAATTCAAATGGGTTTTGGAAGAAGATAGATTAGAATTGTGAAGCTATAAAAGATATTATGCTCTCAAGTATTAGATTCCTCCGAAAGAGAAAAAGAAGGAATTCTGTTTTTTGCAACTTAAAATTCAAATTAAATTTAAAAAAAAAAAATTTTTTTTGCAAAGTCAAAATGAAACAGTATATCAAAGACGAACGGAATTCTGTTTTGTTAACCAAGAATCACAAATAATCATGAATTATTGTTTTGAAAATATTTAGCTGAACTAGCTCACAGATGCAGGTTTAGAGCCTCTCACGCAAAGAGGCACAAACCAGGCCTCAGCCGGTTACTCTAATAAAAGGCAGGTAAAAAGTAGTATACGATTCCATTTTTGTTCTATTAGGGTAATTATTAAAATCGGACCTGTCTGACGGCCAGATGATTAACTCGATAATTCAATCTTTGATCTGGATCGATTCATTGATTGGACCGTTTATACAATTAATCGAAAAAGAAGATGTATTGAATTATCGAGTTTATGAGAAAATCGATGAATTGTTTAGTTTTTAATTGATCATGATCATTTAAAATAAGGTTTTTTTTTATATAATTTTAAAATTATACCTAACTTAATTTTGCATATTAATTAATGATTCTTTCTTCATTTTCACTAAAAATTTTATTTAAAAAAAAAGTAAAAAATAAAATAAAAATACACTACAAAAATTAAAAAGTGAAAAAAAAATTGTAAGCTTAGTTTTTTTTTTTTTACATTTTTTAAAATTATAATGAATATTTCTAATTCTTATACGATAATATTTAGTTTATATAACTGCATAACATATTTATATAATATATTGGAATACATTTTTATTAACACAATGTTAACCTGAATGATTCAACTATTGAACCGTTTGGCTAAAGATCTGAAACTTTGAACAAGTCATTATCCAATAGTGAAATCAAAAGTAATCTTAAGATATTTAATTTGACCAACGAACCGAAGTGATCGCGTGGCCTAATGGATAAGGCGCTCGCCTCCGGAGCGGGAGATTGTGGGTTCGAGTCCCATCGCGATCGGATTGTCTTTTCAATTTTTGTCCATCAAAGGGGCTGCTGAAGTAAGTTCTACGCTTAGTTCCTTCTTTCTCATTTTACATTTATTCCAAAAAATTGGTGGATGCATTTTTTTTTAAACTTAAATCAGTAATTAATAACGAATTTTTAATCAATATTATAATAAAAATATATCTTTTGATAAAAAATTAAAAATAAAATAGAAAAATACTGCATGCGTTCTCTTTTAGCTAGTGTTACTTAATACAACAATAACAATAAAATGAATCTTATATTTCATAAGTTTAAAGTAAATTATATCAAATAAAAAACAAAAATAATAGAGTGATAAGTTTATAAAAATGTCAACTTAATTGAGTTTTTAATCATGTAACCAAAAGTTTGTATCATTCTTTTTTTTTTTTTTTTTTACCTTTAGTGAGGATTTATTTTTTCTCTTTTAGATTAATCATTGCAATGATATTGAAATTACACAAAAAGAACAATTTCTTCCCATTTTATAGATCATATCTTGTCCATCTTAAACTCAAGCTCAAATCTCGGTTTGGAACTCCAATTTCCAACTATTAGGTTATTTCCTTGGTGACATATTTCTTTAATGTGAACAAAAATCAAGTAATTTTTTTTATTACAAGAAAAAAAAGAAAAAACCCTCCCACTCACATCATGAAAAATTGAGCTAAGCCACGCTTAATAATAGGACATTCAAACTAATTGTCTAGATTATTTTCTTAAGAGTATATATCATAAATAATCCATAAATTATAATAAAATATTTAATGTAATATTTGAATTTTATAAGTTTTAATGTGATGCCTGAAATATTAATCTATTATTTAATTTAATACTCACATTTAACATTTCTAATTTCAAATGATAAGTGACAGATAAATTACTTTCAAAATATCATATCAATACGTAAATTCATAATTCAAATATCAAATTAGAGATTTTAAAATTTTAAGTAACAAATTGAATATTTTAATATATTTTAAGAGACATTCATGACATTAATCTTATTCTCAAAGCTTGTCATGAGGAGCCTATATACATAAATGAATTCCATATAAGTAAACCAATTTTCGAGGAATTTATAAAATATTTAAAAAAAAAATCGAAAATCAAATTGACAATTTAGAAAGTACAAAATTTGCTACATTTTGGAAATCCTCTGCCGTTTCATCTCTTAAATATGAAAACCAGTACTGGAGCTAAGGGTCGGTTCAACATCTGGAACTTGCAGCATATCCAACCATCGACAGATAATCCAGAAGCAAAGACTTCAACTGTTTCCAGTTCTTCCCTGAAAATTAAGTCTAACATGAAAATGCCAAGTGCCTTCAATCAAGTTACACGGCTAAGAATGGTAAACCATGTGTAGTTTATTAACTCGTTCAATTACATATGAAAAGCAGTTGAAAATTACATTCACAAATTTTGATGCTGGTGCTGCATGTAAACAACAGGATGACCTAACCAAAAACGGCAGTCAACAACAAACTTCTTCTTTGGTATACATGTGGAAGTCCAAAGGGAGAGGCGTAATTCGAACCTAAGACCTTAATCGTTCTAATGAGGCATAACAACCACTAGATTAAGCCTGGGTTTTCCCTGACAAACTTATTAATTCACCAAATGCTGAGCCTCGGAATTCTAGCTAATGCTAAAAAACATCAACAAAATCACAACCATGGCAAAAAAAATGAGTCTAGTAGACAAAATTTACCTTCCACCTGGATGCCCCACATAAACCACTAGGCTAATAAGCCCTCCTGATATCAGCATTTTCTTTGCAGCTTCCAAGGCCAACAGTGTTGTTCTTGAAATTGTAATAATACTTTTGTCACCTCCAGGTAGATAGCCAAGGTTGAATGCAACAAGTCTAGAAGGAGACAAGGAATTAATTCTATCCCAATGCCAAAAAAAAAAAAAAGGCATATATATTAACATGGCTTCGTGTAAAGTATGAAGAAGCAGCTAACCATTCTAATAGTAACGAGCATAATTGCAGAATGACAGATATGTAAAATTGAATCCGTGTTCCATTAACATGAAGTTAATAATATATAACTTGCCATTTGCTAAGATGTTCAAGCCCCTTTCTAACTGGCCTGGTGAAGACAATAATTTGTGACACACATTTTTGTATATATTAATAAATTGAAAGTCTGGTATTGACACAAGGTGTATGATATGCTGTCCAGTAGACATCAAAAAGTAATAATTTATTCAAATCATTATTCATTAGCGACTAAACAATTAAGACCAATGTAGGGAAAACAACCGCCAGTACCCCTGAAATACCAACGTGGTTCTGATTTGTGAAATGATGTCAATAAATGTTTTTAATTACAATTCTCATTGCAGATTCACATAATTTCATTGGGTTCTTTTCTACAGTATGAAACGCTTTTTGAAACAAAATAGATTATCCACCTTTTTTTTTAGTCAAAATTTGAAACTTCACAAGAAATTACTATGAAGGACTGTGAAAAGAAATATGGAATATAGTCCTCAAATAATAGAAATACATGGATGTAGCAATTTTTCTGTAAGTGTAATACAAGATAACTATGTTACACATCAGATGATTAGTTATATTTGTCCTCTATATCCTTTTAACTACAAAGAGTGTAAAGTTAAAAGCTCATGTTCAAGTTCAAGGAGCATCATAATTTGACCCACAAACATTTCCAACCATACATCAAATGGAAATCTCTTATTTTACCAGATTGATGCATACATTTAACATGTGCACTGAAACAAAAACAGACAATTACGTAACTACAGACATTTATTAATATTTAAGTCTATAAAGTAAGTGCAGTAGGAGCATAACAACATCATTTCTAGTCTTAAAAGCAGAGAAACAAATACTTGTTGAAAGTTCCATTTCAGATACATTGAACAAGTTACTTTGTCTCAGTTTTTTATGCATTTACATCCTTCAGTTTCAAAAGTTTTCAGACATAAAGGTGCTAGGGTGCTCAGTGGATATACAATCTTTTATTTCTTATGAGATTTGAAGATGAAATCAAATAGTAAAATGGGAACATGTTAAACAAAATGACTCCTATGCCCATTACTTAGTGTGGATTTGTTGTTTGGTTTGGTTATTTATTGAATTTGGAACTAAATTGGTTTCTACCAACTGGATGGAGACCAACTTGGCTAGTGGCTCAACATGAGAGCATAGATAAACATGTGATGACTGCCACAATATACTACATGATGCCTTTTGGAAAACTACATATAACGATCAAGAAGGGTATTATTGCTATTGACCATAGAAGTTATGAACAAAATATTGATTTCCAAAAAAAATATATGAAGTAAACGTTCATATAATACTAGTGAAGGACAAACAATCACAACTGGAAGCAGCCCATAAAAGAGAATAGCACTATGGTAAGATGAGTGATTTACAAATGACTGGGGTTGACTCCACTAGTCAATTCATCACCATCCTAGCTTAGAACAGGATTTGTAAGGAGTAACAATGCTCTATAGGCAATCAAGATGATCTTAAAGCAAGTATAAATAAATTAAGAAAAGATTGAAGGCTATGCTGATTATGGACTTAAAGTCAAAGTGTAGAAATTATAGGTCCAATATGACAAAGAGGATAAAAGGGCACATATAGCCATAGAGTTTCTTTGAGGATCAGGGATTCACATTCCAGAGGAACCCATAGGTTTCTCCTCTAAACTGTTTTATCTCCACTTTTGAAAAGGTGTCTAGTTCTACCAAATTCAGCATTTTAAAGATGCTTTATAAGTCCTATGGTTTAGTTCCTCTATCACTCATCAGTTCCGTAGTTCTTCTACTTCCGAGGGAAATGGCTGAATAAACTTCCCATGGCAAACAATATAAGATTAGGATGAGAAACAAAGTGAATATTCCTTCTTGGATCAAATGCCGAGGCCAATGGATAGAGACTAGAGAGAAAGAAACTATCAAAAGCAGCTTTGACAAGAAAACTCAAGGAGTAAGGTCAGTTTCTTCGTTTGTCTGTTTCTTCTCCTTTTTGAAAGTTGAGGAAGAAATATTACATGTTCAATAAAATGTTCATATTGAAAAAGAAAGTTATGGAGGAAGAAATTTATCTATATTGAAAAAGAAAATGCAATAAAATGTTCACTGGCCTCAACATCCATGACATCCACATTTTTGGCTATCAGATAATAAAAAAGAAAGATAGATTAACTTGAGAGCTAATGAGTACCTAACAGCAGTATTTTCTGGAACAACTTCATTCATTCTACTATGGCAAATGGGGAAAAGCTTGACTAGTTCTTTCTGCATAAGCCAGAAACTTATTAGTTCTTTCTGCATAAGCCAGAAACTTTTTAGTAATTGTATAAGACATAGGTACCTTTACAAACATGGTAAATAAACATAAGTTCTATGTAGAAGAAGCACAAGATATAGAAAGTCAAATGACCATAACAGCCTCTAATGACATTTCGAAGCACCTCTAAGGTGACTGAATATTTTGACAGTTGTGCAGTATGTTGATTCAAACAAGACTGAATTTTTAAACTTGTATACCATTAAGCTAGGGATTCAGAATCTTAAGGTTAAACTTTGAAATATATTGTCAAATCTGGATAGATTTTTCTTGCACCAATTAAAACATTACTACTCTTTGAACAGTTCACGATAAAGGAGACAACATCAAAAAGACAATGAGAAAAACCTCCTTTGGAGTAACAGCTTGATCCAGTAAGGAGGAAGTATTCTCTATAGCCTCTGTCTGAATATCCATTCCATAAACACGACCAAAACCAGACTCATCAGCAACCATTTTGAGCATTGCCAAGGTATCACAACCATTCCCACATGTGGCATCTATGACCATATCCCCTTTACGTAGGACATGCCTCCAAACCCTGTCAGTGATGGACATAATATATATTAAGGTATTCAGAGTTCAGCAGTGTTGCTGAAAGGTAACAAGGAAATTTATTATGAAAGATTTCATAAACTCCAAATTGATATAAATAAATTAACATCCTTAGTATAAACAAGATCAAAACTTAATTGCTACAGAGATACTACAAGGGGGTTGTATCAGAAACAGGCTCCTCAGGCCCAAAATCATATTTGGCTCATCTAATTCAACATAAGCATGAACTTAAGCAAACAAAGATTGAACAATTTAAAAAAAAAAAAAGAAAAAGCAAAAAAAAGCTTGTTTACCTACAAATGAGGATGCTCAAGAATGAGAATATAGATTTCTAAAGAATATCAAATTCGATAAGAAATTTGATGTCATATACACTGAAATTATGTGTTTTTACACTTCAATTTCAAGATTCAACAGTTATAATTCGTAAAATAATATATTTAGGTGGTGTGAATAATAGAACTAGCTTTTAACCTAATTCATTGTTAGCAGTGCCTTATTGTGAGGGCAACGACAATAATATTTTTTTCTCTATTAGTAATGCAAGTCTTCTTTTAGAATAGGAATAGCATATCAAGAAGCAAAGACAGAAATTTGACCTCCATTTAATGCTTCCAATTTTCATGTTTAATTTTAAACCATTTCATTACATGGTTCGTATTCCAAATAATATCCCCCTTAAAATCTACAGAAATGGAGTTTAAACGAAGTTCAAGCATTTAAGTAAATAAAAAATTCACAATCCATATTTGTTAATAATCATCAAATCCATTTGTTACCACTTACCACACCAACCAAATGTTTTGTTGCAGGAAGTTATTCTCATTTTCATTCCAGTTCTTATCCATATAGGTTTCCACAGCGTCATAGTTAAAGAACACCTAGGTTGAATTTGGTCATTGATAAACATTTTTCAGTTAAAATATTTCCTTTCTTTTCCCGTTCCTATGCTTGGCTTGCAGTATGACTCTGTTGTTAACTTCCTATTGCTAGTGAAGGTGGATATGTTATTGTCCATCATTATTTGATTTCCAAAAAGAACAGAAAGTGTCTCCACTATTCATTGTCAGTAACCTCTTTCCCCTCATTTACATGAAATGTTCATCCGCAAGGAGCAAAACAAATATAGTGCTATTCTAAATTTACTTTCTTTTCCCAGCAACACTGAAACCAAACACAAACTTAACGACAGCTAAGACTTCTATAGATTTTGACACAAACAAAACCTTATTAATCTAAAGACCACTTTTCTCTGGTGCAGCAACACCCTTTCAGTTTCATATTATTTCATACTTACCCCGCAGACAATGAGTTTCCATTTGCATTCTCTAATATCGTATCACAAATTCTGGTCATACCTCTGTTCTTACCACATCTTTCAATTAACATTGAAAAGATGCTTCAATTTACACATTTTCCCAGCATGTAAGCCATCAACATTTATATCAAACACACTGAATTTTCAAAATGTTCTAGAATGCTAAAGGGTCGGATAGTCCAACTTTCGGACAACTCACAGATTATATATGTTTATAAAGCAGTTATTTGTTACATCCATGCCATCTGAGAGTAGTCGGAGAAAATAGCATTACTCAATGTTCTAAAGCAAACCAAACATAGTAGCAGACAGAGAATAGTTTCAAACACAGCATAAAAACAATCAAACAAAATAGAAAATAAAGAAACAAGAAAGAAAGTGGGCAATTAAGCACCTACAAATGAGCCACTTCTGTTGCTTTCTTCTTCCCAAATATATAACCCACCAACTCATCCTCTAATCCTGAAATTTTATTGTAAAAAATAAGTCCTTTTGCTTCTATTTTAATTCCAAAAAACAGATAATATAAAAAGTAGTTAATACCTGAAAGTGGAGAATTGCTTGAGAGAGAAAGTGAGGTTCCTCCATTATTATGAAGAGTGGAATTGGAGGTGCAATAAAGATGTTTGGAGGTCTTTTTGAACGATGAGGAGAAAGAAGACAAGGTGAATAATAAATTTGTTTGAGAAAGGATTCTGTTTGATAGCATTGGGTTTAAGCGTGAGCTAAATCTCAAAGCTGACATTGTTAATTCTTAGTTAGTCTGAGTCTGAGACTGGCTTTTGTTTCGGTTCAGTAGTCGGTAGGCAATGGGCGAAAAGGGAAGGATGGTACTAAAAAGAACTACAAAATGGATCAGGTTCGGGCCTAGGGATGCCATGGCGGAGCTCATAATACCAAATTTTGAAGGGAAGGGAAGCTTGGACCCGACCCGGACCTTCTTCACATAAACGCCAGTGTTTTGCCGTAGATGTGTTTACGGATAATGTCAGATTGGATTTGATTTCGGATGAAATTTATATTTAATATTAATAATTTATATGTTTATTAAATTTGATTCGATTCAAAAATTCGGGCTTAAAGTTTCTCAAATCTGATGTAAATTAAAAAAATAAATTTTAAATTTGCTTATTAAATTTTATTTATATAATAAAAAATTTTTAAAAATGCGATTAAATTAAATTTAATGAGATTATATTTAATTTATATATATAAATTAAAAATAAAAATTATATATATTTATTAAACGTAAAAATTAAAAATAAAAATTATATAAGTTTAAAAAAATATATATAATTTTATTTTAATTTTATATATGTGAATTAATTTATATATAATTAACATATATATAAATAATAATTTTATATATATATATATGAATTTAGATTAGATCAAGCTCAAGCTTTAATTTTATGTCCAAAGCTCAATTCAAAATTTAAATGAATTTAAAAATTATGTTTATTTTCGTTTAATAAATTTTAATTTTTTGTTTAAATCTTTTCAAAATTTAGACAATTTTTTTAACTTAGATGGATAGTTCGACAGACCTTTGGATTTAGACGGATAGCCTGATCTTGAAAGGTCAATTGGCTCGTTTTGTATTGGGTTATTTTTTAGATTTGATAATGCTTTCAAGAGAATTGTGATAATTTAATTATTGAGGTGATTTTATTATTACGAAAATTTTATTATTTTGATTTAAAATTTTTTATTTCATTAATAATTATTAATTTTTAAGAATTAAATGTTAATATGTTTGCGTTTCAAAAAAATTGTCAATATGTGTGATATTACAAAAATTAAATATTATTTTTTTGAAAAGTACCAAAATAATCATATTTTAATAGTTGCAAAATTAATAATTTAAATGTTGGTTGATGATAATAATTTATAAAATATTAAGAGTATTTTATTTATTAACAGGCAATGACATAACCAGAAAAAATTTCCATGGGATCATATATCAACTAGCATTATCTAAAAATATATAAATAAATCTAAAAATTTTAAATTTTAAAAAAATTGAGCATATTTTCTCATTATTTAAAAAAAACCGATCCTTTCGTCCTTATTGTTTGCTCATCTTTTCTTTTTGGATGTTCCAAAATTATATTTTTCTTTTTTTTTTTGAACATTTAAATGTCTTATTTTTTATATTTTAAAATTTTTTATGCCTTTTTAAAAATTTTTGCCATTAAAAAAATATGGAACATCAAAAATTTTTAAAAAATTAATTTAATATTGTATACTCTAATGTCAAAGCATTTCTTTAAACTCTGTGAAAGTCAATAAAAAACAAACATTATTGAATGGAGATAGTATAAATTTATTTATTTTCTCATAATTATAACATTAATATTCATGAATTTTACTAGTTAAGTTTAATTTTGTTTCGTTTTAATATTTTTATTTTTTTAAGTAAAAAACAAAAAAAAAAAACTTAACAAACAAAAAAATTGTTTTGAAAAAAAAAAACTAATAGTACTAATATTCTTGAATAAATAAAAACGAATATAATAGTTGCATGAAAATATTTTTAAAAAATAAAATATAAAATGCTTGATTTTAGTTTTATAAATTTTTTTTTATGTTTGAAAATGCCAAAAATTAAACTTTAATCACTATAATTAATAGCAAATGTATTTATCCCATATTGATATATTAATAAAATCATTATATACCATATTATATTAACTAATGTCAAATAATAAGTAATTATTGTGATACCATGTTTTAACATATCCAATAGTAATATGATTATCGTTAAGTGTGATCTCGATTTAATTTTATATTTAGATCTATAATAGAATGAGTCAATTATATATACATATATATATATATATATATATAAAAGTAGCCTATTGAATTTCATAACTTCAATTTTAGAGAGGCAAAAAGCAGCTCTTTCTCTTTTTACTATGCGAGTCTCCAATCAAGCTTTAAAAGCTGGCAATGGAAAGCTCGTGATAGCGACATTGATTCTATAGTCGTGGATTCAACAAAATTGAGCTCTCACCACATTTAGATTAATTTTAGTTTTTGTTAAAATGTGTCAGTGACCTTGTGAACTTCTAAGCTAAAACCAACAATTGATATCAAAACTATACTCATTGTTATGGTCACTAACCACTTCTATTTGGCATGATGTCACTATTAAAGTTTTAGATGAAGTTTTTGACTTTTGAATTTTCAGACCCATTATTTTTGGGCTCCAAATTCTCGTTTTGTTGTTGTGGAGCTTGAAAGGGATTGAAATCTTATTTTTTGGCTTTGAAATGGTGTGAAAATGATGACTTTTACACAAACTAGGTTGAGTTGGACTGTGTTTGGTTAGAAAACTCAAATTAGAGCAATCAAGCTCCACAACAAATTAATTTTTGCCATTTGATTAATTATTTTGGGACAAATTAATTTAATTGATTATGGACCATATTAAATTAAATTAAGGTCAATTTAAATTTAATTCCATTTAGGGCAATTCAAGTTAAGGCCATTTCGGTGAAATTAAAATTTTTGTCATTTTGTTTTCAACCAATTTTGTTGAAATTAAAATATTATGCCTAATTTAATTGATTTTATCCATTTTGCTTAAGGCCATTTTAGTTAAAATTTTTGGTAAAATATTTTGGGTCTAAAATTAATAACTCCATTCTATAAAATATTTAGCCTAATTAAATGGGTGATAAATGAATTATTTAGGTATGCTAGTTAGCCCAATTTCGGTAATTAAAATTTACACATTCTGTTAATAATTAATTTAATTCCGTAAAAACCCATTTAATTAGTAAAATTGCCTTATTATTTGAATATTTACAGTAAATAAAATTACTTAATTTTGTCAAACCTAATTTTTAATATATGCTTAAAATATTGCATTTTTTGTTATAGTTAAATTTGGTCTGACAATTTTGTTGAATATTCATAAAATTACACAAACTGCTAATAGGATTGATTCGAGTTCACTTATTGTAAGAGTAATCATGAAGATTTTTGGGTTATTTTTTGGTAATTTATTCTGAATAATAATAAGGTAAAACTTGTGTGATATTTATAACATTTATTGAAGTCTTTTAAGGTAGTAAGACCTTTCCTATCACATTGATTATTACCTTGAAGGATGCTTAGGAAGGAAAGAATTCTGATTGGGGTATAATGTGATTTAGCTACTTTGTCAATAACAAGTTGTTTTAGGCTTATATTCGACTAGTTTTATATTATCTTTTGTAGTATATTTTGAGAAGATTTTAGATTTTGGAATTTAATGGAATAACCATTCTAGTATAATTCTATTCATATGCATAATACTATTTGGGTTATTCTATAAAAGCCTCCAATCTCAGCTTCATCTCTACAACTATGATTTAATCAGATCATTCAGATAAATGGTGTGAATTATTCTTTATAGTTTTGGGCATAATAATTTGAGAATAGCCTAGAGAGTTTATCATTTTCAATAACCATTTAGGTGATAAACCCATGTTACTAAGCTTGATTGAAGACAAAATGATAGTGTGCTTCTTAAAGACACTTTAATTAGAATTGTTTGATAGCATATAGGTACACCATCATGAAGCACATTAGATAGAGTGTTTTGCTTACGATAATTAAGGATGCCATTATAGTCAATTTGAGAAATTTTATAAGATTAAAATATTAAACCACATAGATTGTTTACTACTACCATGTTGGATAGGGTAAATGGTTTTCGTGAGCATATTATGAAAATAACCAATGTTGAAATATGAGACCAGTTCTTATTGTGGCAAATTTATAAGTAGCTTATTTCTAAAAAAAATAATATGGAATCTGCCATAAAGTATAGAATGAAGCATATGGGATTTAAATACCATCACTATTATAACCATTTATGAGGAAAAGATATTATGAGCTGACAATCCCATTCTGTCTTCTAGATGATAAAGGTTAGCACTATTGCCAAACAAAACATTATTGAGAAATGTTCATTAAAGGTTATTTAAAAAGAAGAATTTTGTGAAGCTCATTTCCCATTTCGGTTCCATAAATGTCTTTGAATCATGAAATCAAAGGATTTTGGAATATATACCACCATTGTTATAAATCAAACATAAAAGGGCAATTTATAAAAATTCTTTGGATTGGAAAATGAAGCAAGGCATTCTTTTAGCCTTTTCTATTTAAATAAAGGCTTTCTATTAGCCTTTTCTATTTGAATCCAACCTAGATGCTATGCCTTTTGGTTTTTCATGGTTGGATATCAGTGCTAGTGTTGTTAAGCCAAATATGGTAACTGGCAAAAAATCGAAAACCATATCAAGGAAAGATATTTGTGAATACGAGTGATATTTTTCAGTTGTGCATATAATAAATGATGTGGTCGTTAGTTCTAATCTTGGTACAATAGATGAGAAGTCTACAATGTTGTGGCATATACATTAGGGATATTCTGAATTTGGCACATGTATAGATTACGTTAAAAGAAATGTTATTGCTAACATATGATTGTAAATAGTAGATGCAGATAAATTTAAGAATTGATTTAAGAATTAATTTACACCAACAATTGTGGATTATTTTCATTTAATGTTTTCAATGGATACTAGTGCCTTATCACCTTCACTAAAAGCCATTCAAGTTTCGATCATGTGGAGTGAGAAGTTTGACTTTGTGAAAGTCTTAAAGTTTTTTTTTTTTTTAAAATTGTTGTCAAGTTTTTAAAAATACAAAATTAAAGTAATGAGGTCAAACATAGGTGATGAATATTTGGTCAGTAAGATGAAACTGGGTGGAATCCTAGACTATTTTGTTGAGTTTTCTATAGGATTTTGTTGTTGATGCCTAATATGATGTGCATGGAATACTGAAAGAGAATAAAGTTATAGTAAAAGTCAATTGTAAAATTCTGTACATGGTGTGGTATATGCTATGGCATCTTACATTTTTAGATTTCATGTGGAATAAAGCCTTTAAGACTGTAAAATTTTATTTAAATCAAGATCTAAGCAAATGAGTTCCTAAAGGTCATTG